CCTCTGTTTGTGTTGGTGGTATATCCACATAGATCATTTTTCAAAAAAGTGAAAACAGAATCGTGTGATCCATATTACTGTGACATGTCATACCAAAGAACTCAAGCATCTCTGTGTGTGTGTGTGTATCGATAAATATACTTACGTCATTATATTGTCATTACATTGAATTGCTGCATAGTAGTCTATTGTTTAGATGCATGATTGTTTAAAATATATATATATAGGTGGTTTCCGAGAGTGCTCTTAAAGCAGCATCCTCGTGAACAATTCGTTGACAATCCTCTGTCCCCATACAGAAATATTCCCACAGGATGCTTGATAGCAGAAGGACCGTTCGATCTAAAGGCAGGCACACTGTTAGAGCATTTCCTATGCGTTGACGAACCACCCTTCAGAAAAATCATCACCTTCTCCCACCGGTTTCATCTCAAAGCACTCGTTTTCCCATAATTTCTTGGCATTTCCTCTCATTCAAAAAATCCTGATGTTGAAGGAACTAATTTCAAGACAGGACAATCCCGATAATAGTTTTGTTGTTTCACCAAACTTGTGGCTGAGAAAAATGACCTTTATGTTAAAATGCAGTTAGTTTAACTCTCTTCTTTATATTGACCCAGTATCAACTTCTGAGTAACGAATTTAAGTCTTGGGAGGTTTCCCCTATGGCTAGGCAAGATAAATGAATACAGGAGAGGAAAAGAAAAACCCATGAACAATCACCTGGATAATTCATTCATAAAATCCTGCTGGGGGCAGTGAGGGGGGAAAAGTACGTTTGCAAACTTTACACTGACAAGCTTCTGTTCTCCAAATCAGCTGCCTATGCCACCAACCAGGGTTATTAACATTTAATTCTTTGCTTTACTTTGAATATGCTAATCATAGAAGCCTCCATTTTTCAGTGCTTGCTATGAGTCAGGTACTTGGCAATCAATTTAATCGTCGCAAAAAGGGAGGAATTATCCCCCCATTCTCCTTAAGAAACTGAGGGCCAGAGAGGTTGAGTAATTTGTCCAAGGTCACACAGCCAATCACTGGAAAGAACCAGGATAAGAGTTCAGGCATGCATTTTTCAGTGCTTGCTATGAGTCAGGTACTTGGCAATCAATTTAATCGTCACAAAAAGGGAGGAATTATCCCTCCATTCTCCTTAAGAAACGGAGGGCCAGAGAGGTTGAGTAATTTGTCCAAGGTCACACAGCCAATCACTGGAAAGAACCAGGATCAGAGTTCAGGTCTGCCTGTCTCCAAAGCTCTTGCTATTTCCAATGTGACACATGGTCCCTCTTTGGTGTAGAGAAGGATGCTTTGCCGCCCAGAACCCCTCCGACCTGATCAGACATCTCAGATAAATGCATGAGCCTCTTCCTGAGCCTGGTTCCACTTGCAACAGTTGTACTAACACTTTCTTCTTTCACTTCCTGGCTTCCCATCAGGTCCCAGAGACGCCAATGAAGAGCATCAAGTACATGGACAAGGAAATAATAAACCTCAAAAAGGACCTCACACGAAGCCGGTGAGTAAGCCCAGCATGGAATAATAACCCAGAGACAACCTGATAGGGATGAGGAGGCTACAGGGCAATGCCCAGAAGTCCTGTCCGAGTCTCAATGCCTCCCTCGACCCTAAACATTAAGCAGATGGCTTACGAGGGGCAGGCAGGGGGAGGTGTGGGTAACCCTGTAAGGGTCCATTTCCTGGTTGGACTTTTCAGAGGATACCTGTATCAGACTTACATCCCCACTCTGCACATGCTAAGCCCCTGCCTAGAATTCCCTCTGCTCTCCTTCCTGGGCCTGAGTCCAACTCAAGAGAGTTCCCATATATTCCAGAAAAATCTTCCCTTTTCACTCCAGGGCCTGGCAGCATGGCAGCAGAGTCGGATAGATTCAGTCTCAAATACTGGTCCTGCTATCTGCTACCTAGTGACACTAAAGGCGTCATTTAACCTCCCTGAGTCTGTGTTTCCTTACCAGTAAAATGAATATAATATGAGGTTGTTAGAAGGACTGGGTGAACCCTGGAATGGCCACTGTCATTTCTATCTGTCCCCACCCCATCCATTCCTCCCTCCATGACAGTGCAAGCAAATTCAGGTCTAGGACCATATTTTCTTTCTCCCAGTGGGGTGAGAAGGGATTTGTTTGCCTCTCCCTTTAACTCCTCCCCGGGCCCTGGAATGATCCAAGGTGGGATCATGAAATGGGGCTTTCGGCAAAGTAACTCAAGGCAGAGTAAGAGATGGAGATTCTTTCAGCACAAAGCACACAGGATGTGGGGTGGGGCGGGGGAGGGTAATACAGGCGGCATGGAAATGCCCGTTTATCCTACGTGTCTCTTACTCTGAGCCAGATCACAAACGAGACATGTCCTTCCTTCACCTCCATCATCTAGAAGTTCCTCCTTCTCCACTGCCCACCTGCATCTCCACCCTTGACCTGTCCAGCAGCACACCTTGATGGACCTGGACAACTAAGCCCAAGAGGAGGTGGGAAGGTGTGGGCACTGAAGATGGGAAGAAGGAAAGGAGTGAAAGGAACTAAGGGAGGGGTCAAGACAGGGCCCCAGAGAATGATATCCGCCCACCGACCTCAGGAGGAATGGCATGTCTGTCCCAGAGGGTCTCTGGCTGCCCACTGTCCAGCAGAAACATAATGTGAGCCGTGGGTGTCATTTGAAATTTTTGAGTGGCCACACTAAAAACAGTAAAAAAGAAACTGGCAAAAGTGACTCTAATAATATATTTTACTTAAGCCCCTATATCCAAGGTATTATCATTCAAGATGCAATCAACATAAAAAGTATTAATGAGATATATTACACTGTTTTGAATACACGATGAAAAATGATGAAAAATGGTGAATGATGAAAAATCCAGAGTATATTTTACCCTCAGAGCACACATCAATTGGGACCAACCACATTTCAAGTGCTCAGTAGTTGTTATCCACTGAATTGTGTCATTTCCCAAATTCTTATGCTGAAGCTCTAACCTCAATGTGACTATATTTGAAGATAGGACCATTAAAGATGTAATTAAGGTTAATTAATTACATCTAATCCAATGAGACTGGCGTCCTTATAAAAAGAGAAAGAGGCACCAGGAATGTAGATACACAGAGAAAAGGCCATGTGAGGACCCAGCAAGGAGGTGCCACCTGAAAGCCAAGGGGAAGCCAACCTTGATCTTGGACCTTCAGCCTCCAGAACTGCAAGAAAATAAATGCCTGTTGTTTAAGCCACTCACTCTGTTGTATTCTGTTACGACAGCTTGAGAAGACTAATGTAATAGTCAGTGTTGGGATAACCTCACAAAAAAATGTCCCCAGCTTGATGGGGCTAATGAAGCTCAGTCTGAGTTTCATGTGACGCCAAGCTCAGGGATGGAATGTAAACTTGGCCATCGGAATCAATGGTCGAGACCCACAAGGACCCTTCTGTTGATTGTGGCCACATAGGCCTTTCCAGTGTTTTGAAAGCAGGTTGGAGGAGGGCTTTTGAGGCTGATGCCTTGGGAACCTCAGCACCCCAAGGACCCGTAGGGTCAGGAAGCCAAGAGTTATCTGAGTGGAGGCAGCATCCGTGCCAGGAAGGAAAGAAAGAGGACTGTTCAGTTGAAGATGAACCTCCCAACAGGATTTGTACTCGGCTCCACAGTTATGCCTGGAGGACATCCCAAGCTTTAGAAAGAATGGTGTAGCTGGATCAGAGGTGAGACTGCAGAACCATCTGTGTGTCCTGTGTCCCAGTCAGTCAGAACGAATACTGGCCATAGACAACCATGTTGGTTCCTAGTGGCTGAATATTCTCAGCCTTGAGGTAGATGATTCTAACCCAGATCCCCAGCTACAAATACATCCCAGAATATCTAGGCCCTAGAAAATGAGAGTTTCCACAATAATCTGTATGCTGTAGACAAGAGCTGATAACTAGAGGGACCAATAGATGCTTTGATCTTTGTTAAGTCCCAGACACCAAAACTTGACCTTGCCTGAGGAGGGCAAGAAGCAATGATGAGCCAGTTTGTAACCAGAACTAATTGCTAAATTTCCAGGAAATTTGCATGCCAATTATTAAACATGTCTATTGTTAAAAATGAAATTATATAAACTTACAATGAAATATATCATATTAAAACAAAAATAATCAAAACTCAAAACTCATCGCTTCTTAATGATTTTATACCTTTTACTGTTACCTGTGCTTTTGAGGCTATTTCTAGTTTATAGTTATCTGTCTGGTGAGAATAACGGGATCTCCAGGTCCACTGACATTAGCTTGGCAGCTCAGAATCAGCCACAGAGGGAATATTTATGTCACAGAAATCAGCAAATGCTACACATGAGGGCTTACTTGTCCCCTCCCACTGGAGACATAGCTGTTACACATCCTGGGGACATGCCTCCCCCACAAAAAAAATATGACCAACGTTGAACTTTCCACTAACCCACTATCATAGAGGGGCTTAATTAAAAAGCGATAAAGACAGTGGCGTTTCTGCCCTCTTCGAGCTGGCGAGTGAGTCTGTCCCTCCTGGCAGATGCCTTTATCACGGCTCTGAAACCAGCCTGAATTTAACATCCTCATCAGACAAGCTGAGCCTGTCCAAGGGCCGGACGTGAAGGGTAACGTGCAAAAGGCCAGACAGAAAAGCCACAAGGAAGAAAACAAGAAACAACAATCGAATGTTCCATCTGGCCACTCTCCTGGATCCCACTGACATTTAAAGAACCGGAGATTCCCCTTCAGAAGAAAACACCGTTTTCCAGGGGAAATCACCTCTCCAGGACATGCAAATCCCACGGCCCCATCTCCCAGTATTAAATGAGGCGGATCCCTAGCCAAAAATACGTTGTCTTTTCCACTTATTGTTTTTCAAACCTGTTTCACCTCCCATTAGAATCCAGTCTACCTTGAGCCAAACACCTTGACTGTCTCCTAGACTTTTATTTAATACCTCAGCTCTCTTATAATTCAATTGCACCATCCCTGGTTTCATGGCTAATTTAACATGATGCTAAAAAGAATAAAAATCTAACTGCTCTCCCTTTCGCCTGTGCCACCAGATGTTTGGTGGCGCTAAGCAGCTCGCTAGGCTATTACTTGCCGAATTTCTCCTAGCGGAAGTTGACGATGGGGCATCTGTACACGCCCAGTTCTTTGCCTGGGTTGACTGTTGAAGCCAACAATACATCTTTCTCCAAAGCTGCCGGTGCTTTTTACTGGGAGGGTTTTAAGGAATGCGAACATCTCTGCAACAGCCAAAACAGTTAAAAAGTTGAACCCGAAACCACGTAATGTTTAGTTAGTTAGGTACAGGCAGTTGCAAATAAATAGTGACGAATTAACCCTCCTCCCCCAACAGGCCCCAGCAGGGTACAGATTATGCAAGTGTTATGAGGTCTGAAACTTTGCTTTCTAGCTATATTTGATAGACAGTTGAAGCAAGGCGATTTAGAAGTAACACAGGTAGGTTTTGGCAAAGGAAGAAGCTAATTTTTTTTGTATGAGGTTAGGCACTTCTTGGTTCCTCCTTAGCTTTCTCTGCTCATTCATTTTCAAGACATATTTACTGAGTACCAAGTATTGCCAGGTACGCACCAGGCATCACTTGTATATATTGGAGTCACGGCACTGAACGAAACAGACACGATTTCTGCGAATGAGAGAAAGTGATATGTGTTATAATGGGGCAGAGACAGCAAACAATTTGTCAAGTGAACACGCAGGATTTGGGAGAATGCTGGCTATATACTGTGAAGAATATAACACAAGGTGATGTATGTAGCATTGTGATGGGGAGGAAGCTGCTACTTTAGCTAGAAGGCTCAGAGGAAGCTGTTCTGTGAAGGGGACCCTGGACATGAATGGTGAGGAAGAACCATTCGCACAAAGATATAGTGGGGAGAGGGGTGGAATAGTTCAGAGGGCAAAAGGCAGGTGGGTACCAAAGCTCCAACAAGACAGAAATGTTGGTGAAACAGAAAGAAGGCCAGTGTGGCTGGAGCAGAGTGAGAGAAGGTGAGAGAAGCCACAGATGAAATGAGAGAGACGAGCAAAGGCTGGGTCATACAAGGCCTCGGCCCTACAGGGCACAGCGAAAAGTGTGGGTTTTAGTCTAGACGTAGTTAGAGGGTACTGAACAAGAGAAGGCTACGATCTGATTTTTAAAAGAACATTCCAGCCGCTGCACAGAGACCAGTCGGAAAGCTACAGTAAGAGACGACGATGGCTTGGATCAGGCAACTAGCAGCGAACTGGAGATACGTGGATGGATTCAGGAGTTATTTGGAGCCCCTGGCTGATGGATTGGATGTGGGAGACAACAGAAAAGGCAGGATCAATGTGCCACAATAACCCGTTTTTATCTCTGCCTCCTTCGCTAGGGCATAAGATCTGTCATAGCCTAGACTGTCACAATCCACTGTCACAATCCTCGAGTAAGTGTTTATTGATGGGATGAGTTTTCTTGTCCATCCCCAGAACTGGTAGTTAAAAATAAGGGGGAAGCCCTGT